GTACAATACACATCGTAATTATTATTGTTTTTAACATTTGAGAAATGGATTCAAAATGAGACCATTAGTCATCGTAGCAAGTTTATATGAGGCAACAAAGAGTTATAAACAAGCGCGATTAATAAAATTTGGTTGATCCACAATGAAAAATATTGAGAAGCATTCTAAAACTCACAAATATGATAAAAAATTCCATATGGAAAAAGAAAATATTCAATCCTCCATACAATATAATGTTTTAATACAATAGAAAAAATGCTGAACTCTTTATATAATTTTTAATAACATCGGGCATGCTTTTAATATTTGTAATTTTTTTAAATTTTCGATCACATTTTCCGAAGGTATAAAAAAGGGAACGTCGCTTTCAATAAAAATAATAAAAATAAAGAGGCATGGAAAAAAAATCGCGCCGCGCATATCATTTGAAATGTTCAATTCTATCGGCGTAGAATTTTCTACTCCCGCTATTTATAAAGTGGAATGTAATACCGAGAACAACATCGTGACATGTATACACTCGTATGCAATTTCCATACGTTCTGAGATATTCCAAGTGACTGCACTAACAATTTTAAACTTAACAAGAAGTGGCGGCGTGGTATATACGGAGAGGAACGCGAGAGGGAATGAGGAAAAAACAGGGATAGATCTTATAGGATCCACTGCCAAGTTTAATCGGCGCCGTGGTATCTCGCGGGGGCGGTATTCGATTCCCGGATTCCCGGCTAGAGATGTTGTAATGTAAAGGGAGAGAGCGAGAGAACAAGAAAAAGTGCGTGCGAGCGAGAGGGGGGAAGAGGAGCGGGAGCGCGCGCGACGGGGGCGACGACCACGACGATGACGACGACGACGACGACGACGACGACGACGATAAAACGAAGAGGGATACACGCTTGCGCCAGAGGGATATCACCCTCATCTCCTCGCACAGTACACCCTCGAGCGAGGGGACGAGAGAGCGGGGTGTGTGTGTGCGAGGATAGATGGCAGGGCGTCTCTCCCGGGCCGCGCAGGGCCGCGCAAAGCCGCGTTGCACGCACTGTCAGTTCCCTTCAGTTTCGCTCGGCTGTCCGTGCAACGAGTCGATCCTTTGTGCTGATCGGCCCGCCCGCGCCCGCCGATCCGAGAGATCCATCCCCCGTCGCGCGAGAAGAGAGAGAGAGAGAGGTCCGTTGCGCGTGTCGATCGTTTCCGCCGCGCGACCGGCCGCTCGATCGGCGCCGCGACGCGTCGAAGACGCGCCGCAGACACGCCTGTCGTCGTCGATAGGAAACCGGGCATCATCGCGGTCCTCATGCACGTTTCCTCCGGAACGGAAATCCTCGACTTTTCGATCCCGAATCGCGCGATTATACCTCGGCAGATCGAAAAATAGAAGGTCAAGCGGAGCGTGTGAGGGAAACGGTGAATGAAACTTGAGTTTGCACCCCGCCGGGAGACACGAAGAGTACCCCGTGATCTCGTACCTCGAACGGCACGGCGTGGGCGATCCAGCGAGTGACTTACACCGAGGGCTGTGATAAAGACGAGAGCGATCGGGAAACGAGGGAGAGACAAAGACACGGAGGGATGCACGTATCACGCCCCACCGGCGCTTTTCAATTACGCGAATCTAGATCACGAAGCTGTTAGCGAATTAAGCGGGCTTGAGAGCGGACTATGCGGGCTGAGCGCGAGATGGAAAGAGGAAAATAACGATCCCTCGTGCCGTCGCGATGAGAAATCATCGTGCTGGGGCGAACTCGCAGGTCCGGAGTAGCGACGTAACGGTGCCATGGAGCGTGGGGGCGAGGAAAACCGGAAACCGTCGGTTTATCCGGTAAACTCGCCTTGATTCCATTTCCCGGCACGTCGTGCCAATTTCGACGTGCGAAGCGAAGCGAAGCGAACGGGGATCGTTCGCGGGATCGTCTTGTCCTAAAGCCTGCAGGGCGAAAAATCGTCCCCTTCGAAGGACCGATCGCGGAGATCGGACGCGGCGCACGAGAAGGAGATCGACCGGCACCACGAAACGACTATGAGAGATAAAAAATGAGGTGTCTAATCTTGACCCTCGGTCTGCTGGTTTCGGGTGAGTCAAATAAATCGCGTTCGGAAATCACCTGACCAGTCGTATCGTCAATCACATCATTCCGACGGCCACACGCCAAATCTCTGCCCGACGTATAATCGCCGTGCGGAACCGGAATTCGCGTTTAGGCAAATAACACAGGTCGTAAACATTCAACAGCTTCGAGTAATGCGCGTATAATAAAAATGCATTAGTAAAAATACAATATGTACGTATACATATATATATATAGTATGTATATATACATATAAATTAGACGCAATTCAATTTTGTTATCATGCAAATCAAATTGTTTCCGCTCATTAGCCCGTATATATTAACAACTCTATTTCTGCAATTTGCATTGCTCTAAAAAACGCGTCGAGAATTCTCTCGAGTTTTATAAGTCCCAGTTTCGCGCTCGTTCTTTTTGCACGTACTTTCAGAATAATTCCAAGAAGGATTATACGCCGGAAACTTAAAGATTTAAAATTCGTACGTCCCGTCAGCTTCCCGTCTGAAAAATATTGTAGCTAAAATTAGCAACAAAAGAGAGACATACTGAAATCGCGCGATGCAGATTAATCAGGTAGCGATTGATAATTTCTTTTAATAGTCTCCGTTTCAGTTCGTTAATTACGCGACGATTA